CTACTCAACTTGCTGTTTTATCAGCCTTCGACTTTATGCTTTTAGGCTGGACCCAACCGTGATCACCAAACAATTTACCAGTATTAAATCATTAAATCTTTCAAGAAAGTGAAATTAAGATTTATTTTTGTCCTCGAAATTATTTGCAAGAATACCCAAATTTATTGGTGAAATACAAAATTAAAAAATAAAACTATAATAAAAAGCTCAAACTAATATTTTTGTTTAAAAAAAAAAAAAAGAAGGTAAAATTAAGTTGTTGCTTAGTTATCACCAACCCCGTTCGGCCGTTCTGCCCCCTCTACATGATCTTAAAACCTAATTTTCACTCTAATTTTCATTTTAAATATAAAAATCAACAAAACATCAACAACCCAATTGGCTGCCATCCTCAACCTTTAAAATTTCTTTCTTTTCTCCAAATAAATCCTCTTACTTAAATTAAGTGAATAATGCTTCTATATAAATGGGGCTTCATCGATCTTCATTTTACACAACTCACTAGTCTCTAGCAAACCATGGCATCTCTAGTACAGAAACAACTCTTCAAAGTCCTCTTTACATTCTTCTTATTAGTTTTACTCTTCTCTGATACCGCTTTTTCGTCCCGGAAAACATTGGATCAGAAAAAACCATGCAAACACTTCTCCTTCTACTTCCATGACATCCTCTACGATGGCGACAATGTAGCAAACGCAACCTCAGCTGCCATCGTGAGCCCTCCCGGACTAGGAAACTTCAAGTTCGGTAAGTTTGTGATCTTTGATGACCCCATAACAATGGACAAGAACTATCTCTCGAAACCCTTGGCTCGTGCACAAGGCTTCTATTTCTATGACATGAAGTCGGACTTCAATGCTTGGTTTTGCTACACGTTGGTTTTTAACTCGACGGAATACAAAGGGACACTGAACATAATGGGTGCGGATTTGATGATGGAGCCGACAAGAGATCTATCGGTCGTTGGTGGGACCGGTGATTTCTTCATGGCTCGTGGGATAGCGACTTTCGTGACGGATATATTTCAAGGGGCTAAGTATTTCCGTGTTAAGATGGATATTAAACTCTATGAATGTTACTAACTAGTTATATGTGTTGAGTTTTGAAAATTGTGTGTTGACACAGAGAGAGTGTGTTACTAATAGTAAGTGC